GGGAAAGAAGCATTCTCATGAGGAGACGGGGTTTGCTTCCACACCCCTTTTTGCAGAGCTTCCTTGCTTACATCACCTGACTCATGTGGAGCTGCAGAGGAAGAAGCCCTTTGACCTCCAAACTACCACCTGAACGTACATTAATAGATTTATCCTTATAATTACCTACTGTGCCCAATATGTCATCCCGAGCTTTAAATTAGAGAGGCCATGGTTTGAAAGTAGCCTCCTCTGCTCCTGTTGGGCTGCAGCTGAGACCCAGTTGACCCTTTTCAGTGTAAGATGGTGGGTGGTCAAATCCTGGTAAAGGTTCAGTGTTTGTTCCTAACGATGGAAGCAAGCAAGGAAAATCTTTTTTGATATGGACACAGGGCAAAGTGTTTTCAGAAACTTTCCTTATAGGCAAAGGGTGGGACCATAATCTCTGCTCACTTTAGCAGAGTGGCTCTTAGTGCTTTTTTCCTTTTTTTTTTTTTTTTGGTTGGTTAGTTGGTTTGGTTTTTCCCCCTTTTTTTTTTTTTTGTTTTATGGGGGGGTTTGTGTGTGTGGTTGGTTTTTGATTTTTTTTTTTCAGGCTTTCTAAGTTTTTAACTATCTATCTCTGTCGTAAATAACTTTTTGCCTTACCCACTGCCTCCCAGGCCAGGATAAAGAATTTTTTCTTTTCCTTAAATTAAACAAAACAAATCCCCAAACAAGCTCATTTCTGTTTGACCCAGGTAAATTGCAAGTGGTTCCCTGTGGTTTTTGCCCTTTGAATACTAAGGGAGGAAAGTGCACAAGCACCACAAGGGTTTCTAAGGTTGAATATTTGGTATCTTCCATTGTATCTGTCCTATGAAGGTGAGAAGGGAATCGTAGGTTACAGTAATATGGATTGCATGATGGGGCACTCTGCTGATCTTGCTGAACTAATTACTGTTGGGTTTTTGTTGTTTGTTTTTTTTTTTTTAAAGAAAAACTGATAATGGGGCTGTAGATTCATATGTCAGCAACAGGAAATTCAGTGTCTCATTACATGTGTTATGAAACCTCTGATGTATATGTGAAACTTGCCTATCATCAAGGCACCTTCAGCATGATGAGTCTTTATGAACTGATTTTAGATGTTATAGTTAGCCTGAAATTCAAGCTGTCAAAAAAACCCAACCAACCAAAAACCATCCCCCCCAAAAAAAAAGTAATACCGAAGTGCATACGTTAATGTGCTTTGAAGGCTGCCAGTCTTTGTTCAGGGATACTATGCAACGACCTCTGAGACAATAACTTAATTTTCCTTTTCACACACTCCTTCTTCCTCCCCCCAATGCTTTTCTTTAAACTTAATTTTGGTGGCTTTTGCTGGTTAGTTTTTTTAAGCTCTTCCTAATGCTCTTTTTAAGCATGAAGATTTCAGTGCCAAGATACCTCTGGCTTTCTGCTCCACAGTAAATGTTACTTGCTGCAGCACCACTGTGAAAAGCAGCCATTAGTCGCTTGCTGTCTGAAATTTGCTGAGCCAGCAGGACAGGAATGGAGAGGCTGCTTACCTGGAAGCCGAGCAGCTCCAGTAGGAGGCTGGAAAGGTGTCTGACAGTGTCTCTAGGTGCTCACACACCTCGTGTAACCAGCCTGGAAAATCCAAAGAGCTGTCACTTGAAAGTAGGGTATAGAATATTCTGAACATTTAGGTGGGTATATTTGCCAATTTTCAAAGTATCCCAGGATCATGGAAAGCTGAAAGGGTTGGGGAGGTGGGAAAGAAGGTAATCTTTTAATTCCTAGTGCCTTTCAAGATAGTTTGCCTTTCCTTAGTACAACTGCCCTGCACCCAGCTGATTTGAGTTGGTTGCAATTTAAATGGAGAGGACAAACCAAAGAAGTTCAGTAACATGGCTGTTTCTTTTCAGAAAAGCAGCCTCAAATCTGGGGTTGATCTGTAGGGGTGTCTTGACAGAGTTTGGTATTTGGTCTGCTGGATGTGCCTTTTTTTATTATGGCTGCCTATTCTCTGAGCTGGAAAGTGTGTCAGCTGCTTGCTACAGGAGCAGTGAAGCAGCTTGCTGTGGCCAAAACCCCCTTGCAGCAGCCTTTACTTTGCCACTTACATCTAAGACATTCTTGTTCCCACCGTCCGAATCTCAAACCTTATTTCTGCAGTGATTTAGTGGAGATTGTTTCCACTTGCCAAAGTGTGTGGGGCATGGAGTTTTGTCTTGTGTGTTTTTGCTAATATCTTGTAGTATCTCCTCTCTTGTATGTGGCAGTCTTGTACTGAAAACAGGGTATCAGAGTATGGCAAAATATTGTTATTGTTAATTTTCAACTGGATGCTACTGGTATTCCTTAGAGGCAGAAAAAATCAGAACACTCTAAGTTACCTGACATTTCTTGAGGATGTTCATTTCTGCAACCAGGATATCAAAGCTGAAGGTGTGAAGTTCACTTGCTCAAGTAATGGAGCATCAGTTTGTACTATTACTTCAGAACTGCGTTGTTGCATATAAGAAACAACTGAGGTATGTTGGATGTGATTCTGAGACCCTCAAGGTGTCCACCTTCCTTCAAGTGTGGGTCTGGGTTGTTTGCAGGTCAAGTAGCACTGAATGCAAGTGCTGCTTCAAAGGTTTGTGATGATTTTTGGATCTGAAGGGCTGACAGTATTTATTATATCCCTCTGGCTCATGGCATTCACTTTAAAACAGAAGGATGGATTGAGAAGTGCTTTCATATAGGCTTGAATTTAATACTTGGGCTTTGAGCTTTGATAGCAGCCTGTGATTTCCCTTGTCACCCCTCCAGCTGGTACCACTCTGTTCATAGAATCATCAAGGCTGGAAAAGACCTTTTAAGATCATCAAGTCCAGCCTATGATCAACACCACCACATTGTCTGGACTGTGCTGCTTGTAAATGGAAGTTGATCTCTCATTGCCTCTTTGAAAATTTTGTTGGTTGCTTGGATGACATTATGAAATAATTAACTGAAGTCCAAGGCTAGTAATTTTGAATTATTATTAAAAATAGTTAACTATGAGCTACTAAATACGCCCATTCCTTATTTGCTTACCTGAAGAGCTCTGAACTTCTTGATGAAATAAAAGCTGGTGCTACCACATGCCAAATAGTTGTGGAAATAAGCTCATGAGAGGTTGCTGTGTTTAATTGTTTTCATTCCATGGATTCTTAAACCAAGAAGGATCTTGAGCATTTCCTCCATAGTTTGCTCTGGGCTCAGGACTGGTAAAGCTGAAATCTGTTCTTTGATGGAGGCCTGAAGTCACTGTATTGTCCCCTTGTGTTAGCCTGTGTGAAGTGACTTAACCTCATTCTGCATCCATGCTTTGGCTCTTGGATGATAAAAATATCTAGAACCCTTAAAAACAGTTGCTCTGAGGGTTCAGTTCATCTCTATTTCTTCAAGATAGCACTCAAAGAAGTGCTTCATGCCACTTCTCATCCAAGGCCTGTTTCCTTTTTTTATCTGTACTGTTTTTTACCATATAATAATAAATATTTGTCCATGTTTCAGGCTTTCCAGATGTTTAGTTCTTCTGCTTACCTAGGTCTTTGTTCCCCAATTCTAGCTTCACCCTTCCCCCAAAAAAACCCTTTATTTTCAAGCTAAGTTTTTATTTTAAGTTGTGTAGATGAGCTTTTTTTCTGATCCATTTTTCTGGGGTGATTTACGGTGTGTTTGAGTTGCTGGTTATGCTTTAAGTATAGGTAGTGTTGATGTTGGGGTACCTCGAAGTTGTGGGGAAAGGGAAAGCAAACACAATTGTCTTTTGTTTATGCAAATCATTAACTTAGATTTTAATTTTATTCTCCAATTATTTTTTTTTTTTCTTTTTTGAGGCTGTGACTGGTAGAGGTTATATTTGCTGACTGTATTTTAGAATCCTCTGTTTGGTTTTTCAACTGAGATTTCCTGATCTCTTGCAGCAGAGCTTCCTCCTCCGTATACTGCCATTGCAAGTCCAGACGCCAGTAATGTTCCTGTAATAAACTGCCGAGTGTGCCAGTCGCTAATCAATTTGGATGGCAAGCTACACCAACACGTTGTTAAGTGCACAGTTTGCAATGAAGCTACGGTAAAACGGGTTTTTACCACTTTAGTTTTGTGGAGGGAAGGGGGATGGAGGTTGAAGTACTTGGCTGATAGAATTCATGTCCTCACCTACAAATGGTGAGTCCCTTCCTGCCATCCCTGGAAAAGCACCTGACAGTGTAGCTGGCTGCCAGGGCAGCTGGCGTGCAAGTTCAAAGGTTGCTGGCACAAGGGTGGCCATAAGCAACTAGAATAACTCTTCATGCTGTTGATGAAGCTGCACAGGATGTTTCCTTCTGATGCAGAGTACAAAATGCAAAGATGTGGTTTAAGTAATTACTTTGCTATAAAGAAGGGTGAAACTTTTTTGTGGGATGAAGAGAAATGAAAAACAGAATTATTTTAAAAGTGGGACAAACAAAGTAACTAACCCACATCTCTTCCTGGGTGTGTTTTTTCCTCCTGCAGTACTATTCAATCAATTTGGTAGCTTGCTAACAAACCACAACACAACAGTTTTGAAATGTGGAAATTGTAGGTCCTGTTTTGGTGATCACAGACCTTTTTGCTCCTCCTTCCAGTTTCTTAATTCAAGTCTTCATCTTTTGGCCTCCTGCTTCTATTTTTTCTTCCTTTCCAGTTTTAGTTTTGAGATCTTAACACTGCAGCACTCCACAGCTACTTGATTTGATTTTTTTTATGTCAGCAACTTTACATTACGTCCTGAAAACAAGAAGCCTTAAATCTGTAGG